TGAGAGTGAGGATCAGTAAGATAATTTATTGGAAAAGAAATACCTTATTTATTAATCAGCAGTCAACGATCGCAATTGTTTGTGTCGTTAGTTTCCTTTATTTGTGTTGGAAACTCAGTGTCTGCAATATTGGTTCGCGTCACGTATACTCCCCCATACGTTTGGCTGGAGCGGTCTGAGGTATCAACTTTTGCGTCCTCCCTCAAAACACCCATGATTATAGCTGTAGCGATGTCAGAAAGATCTACCACGAAGGGAGAACTCCCATAATTCGGAGGCGGCTTTCGAGGCATGGTACGCTTAGGGCAAAAGCGGTTTTGTTGAAGGCAGCAGAAATGTAGCTATGATTAGAGTTAGGTACGGATCGAACTTTATCATTTTCTACTGATTGCCGTCTTTTCTGCGCCGCATTGGGGACAGATCAGTAGTTTTCTACTGACCGATGGTATTTCCTCGAAGAGTTTGAGTACTAATAACTGATCTGCTATGCATTGCTACTATTTATTCTTGAACTGTCATGGTGATTATTTTTTACTCTTACTACGACCAGTTCTTTTGTCTCCTCTCTATCCAATTAGTGCACAATCGACACCACCAAGTTTCTCTCTTTGATCGCAATCTTCATCGATGTTTACGACATTCCCCGATTTTAATAATAAAAAATGAGTTTTGAATCTTGGATCAACTTTTTTTTGCGCAGACAATAGTGGTTGTCAACGTTTAATGCTTTGTCTCGCAAACTGCATATGAAACGTTTGTCGACGACCCGGGTCACTTCAGATATGTTTCAGGAGCCTATGAACTTCTCACCCAGCTTGCTTGTGCAGCAAAATTCTATAGCGAAGATTTTTGAAAATGATCAGCCACTGAGCTTCATCCCTGACCGAGGAAATACCATCGGTCAGTAGAAAACTACTGATCTGTCCCCAACGCGGCGCTGCCTGCACAACTACTGATTTCACAGCTACTGGAGTGCTGTTAAGTTCGCATTTGCATTTTCTCATAGTCCTGCCTCGTTTGGTGTTAAGTTCGCATTTGCATTTTCTCTTAGTCCTGCCTCGTTTGGTCTATCAGTCTCTGACTCCGGCGAGCTGGCTGCTCGCGACGCTGGGTTCGTCTTCCCCGCGTAGATTGATAGACCCAGACGAAATTGACTGACTCGTGTTCGAACACCATCTTTAGGCGCGCTGGCACGTTGGCACTTGGCTCCCGCGTCAACTCTGTGTACCCCACCCATTGAATAAGGTAGTATACGAAGTTATTGACCCACCGTTTGGCGAATATTCTTTCTACCTCGAAGAGCTAAGCATTGTCTCCTCTACGAGCTCGGCGCTCATTTGCAAAAAGACCTCCTCCTCTACTGACAACGTCACGTAACCCACCACCTATGGACGATGCACGCTCTGCGTCCAGCTCTCGGTCGACTTCGTTCGGTATGCTAACTTCTCTGCTTAGATGAAGCTGCCAGAAGGAGCCGTCCAGACGGCGCTGGATCGTTCGGGCTTGACGCTGTCGGGGGTTGAGCGGAGGCATCGACCAAAATGGCGAATGCCACCGAAGTGCACTCCACAAAAACAACCATATAAATAAAGGCGTTTTGAGCAGCTAAAAAATAGTACACCGAAATAACATGTACTGGTTACTC